TACAAACACAGTGACATATCAAATTTCGGTACCAAAATGACCAGAGTCGACAGCAAGAATATAATGGAATGTGAAAGCCAAAGGCAGAATGACAGAGTCAACAGCAACCTTAAATGCATTCATCGTATAAGCACACATATTCCTGTGCGCGTATCAATATAATTGACTATGCATGTGTGTGTGTATGTACGTAGGGCCTATATATCATAATACATAAACCATGCATTCTGTTTTCTTTTCATTCAACACTAATCCTTTACGTTCACTTTCTGTTACAACATGATTTATACATCATATATTTAGTTTTTTATAAACATGACAGTCTAGCATCAAATAGCAAAAGTGCACACACCGAGATATGCTCTTAATAAAAAGATTTTCAGATCCCACAGTTATTCAAAGTTTAAAAAACGTAGGCCTTACGTAGCAAAATTTTGTACTCAACAAAAACATTCCCCCCCCCCCTGCCGATTTTGCTAGGTGCACACTAGACTGTACATGTGTATCATGAAAATACATGTGCATGCATACCTATAATATACACACATACACATACACTCTGTGTGTGGTTGTTTGTGTGTGCGTGTGTGTGTATGTGCGTGTGTATGAGTGTGTGGGAGCATGTGTGTATTTATGTGCATGTGTGCACCCACAGGATTTTTAGAAACCATAATAAATATAATATCAACAACTGATATTTACTTGCCACCACTCAATCAGCCACCCGTGTCATTGGGATAATAAGTCAGACTCTTTGCCTTGCAGGCAGAAGATATGGGTTCCATTCCAATTTAGGGTACCGGTAGTTAATTTTATAGTAATAACAGTAAAGTAATAATTTTACAATATCCAAGTCTTTCTGCAAGGATTCTGTTTTTCTACCCAGACGTGAAAACCATGATGTGCTGGGTTGAAGAAGTGTATTTGCTAATATTCTCTAAACTGTGTTTTTTGTTGATTTATAAAATATTTACAATTTTTTAAAACTGATCAGCTACTGTCCATTCACCAAGGAGCAAACAGTTGGGAATTTGGTCAATACAAAAAGGCTTCATCATCATCCAGTGCCAGATCTGCGACAGACATCGGCGATCATGATTTTCCATTCATTCCTTTGCTCGGATGCTCTCAGAAAAGCTACGTTTCCCTGATTTTTCCCTGTTACCCATTTGTTTAGGTTCCCTAAGTTTTGCCAGTGAGAACTAGATGTTCAAGACCCTTATGTCTATTCAGATGTCCCAAAAACTGCATTTGTTGTTTCCTGATTGTTTTTAACATTGAGCGTCCCACGTGGGCTTCATCAAGCACTACCTCATTTGATTTCTTTTCCTTCCACGATACTCTTAGCAGTCTCCTAAGAAACCACATTTCTGTTGCCTCTATTTTATTTTCACTGTCTTAAGTGATTGTCCAGCATTCACAGCCATATAGAAGGGTTGACCAAACATAGCATTTCAGGACTTTCATTTTGGTGTTCATTGATATGTTTCTATTTTTCAGGATTGGGCTCATTTTATTGAAACTAGCCTTAGCCATTGCAGTTCTCCTTTTTATTTCTGCGGAAGATTTGGCATCAGATGTTATCATATATCCTAGTGTTATCATATATCCCAGACAAAAAGGCTTAAGGTTGATTTATCCAGGAGGGATGGTGGGCTACTATTTTATTGTTAACTCCTCATATACGGAGGCTTTTTTTTTCCTTTGTACGTAGCCAATTTTGTCATTCAAGATTTCAGCACCACAAAATTCCCTTTATTTCTGCTCCCATTTAAGCTATTTGCATGAAATAAAACAGAAAACTGAGTAGAAATAAATGATCCAAACAGTAAACATAGTCTGATTAGAGATACCTATGATGAATTTAGTGAGGTTTGGTAGATTTTGTTTTGTTTTGAGTGTAAACAGCTGAGCCAGCTGAACTGGTGCACCATAAGCTAAGAGTTAATATGCTATGATTTATGAGTAGATCTATCACAGAATGTTTTTTCTCATAACCAGTTGTACTGAGCCCTAGGGGGAACAAACATTCTACAACATTTATAGTGACATACTGAATGATGAGTAGGGCTTTGTACCCATCATCATCATTGCCTTTCTCACCCTGCACCAGGGTATAGGCCATGGGCAAACACCTTCCACCTTTCTTTATCCTGGGCTAGACTCTTGCTGTTATTTCATGTCAACAGATAGGCCTATCTAAATAACAACAGATTTGATGGAAGTTAAACTCAAAGGTCCCACCACTCAAATAAATGTTCACTGTAGATTATAGAGAGGGGCTTTAAACCCGTTAAAATTACCATGTATAAATTACCATTATAAACTTGACCATAAGTCAAATTAAAGAAAAACTTGCAAACTCAATGAGGAAGAAATCCTTAAAATGAATGTATAGGACTTTCTGAGAGTACATGATTTACATTTGTAAAAGCATACATGTGTGAACATTTTGGGCGGTTTCTGGTAGCTTTCGTCCATCTCCATTTGAGAGATCTGGCGTTTTCACGGCTAGAATGTGTTTGATGCATAATATATACCCCCCCTCTATCTTCATGACCTTCAAGTCATTCTATACAACAAAATTTTGCTGTAAATGATGGGGAAAATAAATACTTCGCAACAGTTTTGGAAAGTGTTACAGGGAAAAAGATTTATAAATAATGTTTACCTAAAGTATGTGTGTGCACGTGTGTGCACGCGTTTGCATGCCTGTGTGAGTACACATATGTGTGTGTGTGTGTGTGTGTGTGTGTGTGTGTGTGTGTGTGTGTGTGTATTTGTTTGTGTGTATGTATGTGTTTATGTCTGTAATATTATAATATTATTATTTATTTGGGTTATACTCCAATTGAGTTACTGGAAGAATTATGTCAACTATTTTTTTTTTGGTTAAAAAAACCATTAGCTGCAACCCAGGTCTTCAGTAAAATTTCTGAATAACAGAATCCAACATGGGGGCTCTTGTGGCCTAGAGGTTAAGGTGTTGGCCTCTCATTCAAAGGTCCCTGGTTCGAATCCGGGTAGCGAACAAAATATTTTCTTCTCTAAAATTGTCTCCTTTCACCTCCTTTCCTGCTCTCTAAATATATTCTGTCATCTGCTTTCGTCTCCTCTTTCTACCCACATCCCCTCACCTCCTATACCCCCAGCTCTGGGCTCCTGACTCTTCCTGCAGCCTTTCTACTACTACTCCGTGGCTCCTTATTGCTGTCTTTCAGCCACACCCCTGATCTTCGGGTAAGAAAGATCTACACCTAGCCTTCTTGAACAAGTGCGAAAAATCTCGGAGGTCCCAAGTGCAAGTTGCGTACGTTAAATATCCCTTGGCAGTCAAAAACTGATAAGAGTAGGCTTCGGCCACCACCGGGGCAAAATTCAAAATTTCCTACCAACTGAAAAAGTTTAATGTGTCCCGCACGCTCATATGACCATTTTGCAGTTGCGAGCGTCATAAAACACTTACCAACAACAAAAAAAGAAAAAAAAGGCAAAATGCACTGTAAATGGTATAAAAGCCACCGTGGGTTAAGTTTTGCGTTTTCTTTTATCACTTAATTAAATCAGAAGGCTTTTTCAGCCTGTAAAAGATTTCTTTAAAAATCAGTTACCCACTCGTCGGTCCTTTCGGAGATGGACGAAAAACTTGGAGGTCCTGCCTCTTAAAAAACTTATTAATCATAGTTAATGGTGTTGATAGAGGCGTTAAACCACTACCATTTTTTTTTCAGTTATACAGTTAGAGCATAACATCCTCAAGCTATAATATATATCATCAGACAGCTATTAAAATGTACTGAGACCTCAATTTTTTTTATATTACATTTTTGAAATGCAGCTTGTTTTGGTGAAATTCAAATTCCAGTTGTTCAAAAAGCATGGAAAAATGAATAATTTTTGTACTACTGTTTTCAGAAATGAAACCCTTTTTTTTTCTCTCCGGAAAACTTTTGTTTTCTCGGCAAAGTATATTATAACAACTTGCCAACGATATATATATGTTAAACATACATGTATATCAATATTACACATGTGTAACAGGGGTATATCCTCTCTCTTCCTTAACAAGACCACTCAATCCATACGTTACACTTGGTGCAACAAGACAATAATTTGTACAATTTACATATTTCAGCTCTCCAAAAAGAAAGCAGTTGTAACAACAGTAAAAAGAGCAGAAAATGCAAATTAATACCTCAAAGTATACACTTCTTGTAAGTGAGGAATCTCAAAGTATAAACAACCCCGCAAAAATGAAGATAGTTTACACAGCTAGAAAAAGAACAGATACCTGTATATATGTATGGTGGCCGCCGACCCCCCCGCCCCCCATCCCAACCAATCTATGCTTATAAAAAGAACCCACACCCTATTGACCCAAGTGCAATTATCCAATGTCTCTGAAAGTATTACAGGCAAAGCTCTACTTGAGCTCTCATTCTTTAAATAAGTTACAAGTGTCTTTCATGCATAATATCACAGTGACCCACATATATGAACCCACAGAGAGTGGAGGATATACATCGTAGGTCAAATAAATTCTGAACAGAGGGCTCAAGTTGACTTTTACCCAATTGCAAGCATTCCCCTATAGCTGAGATAATACATGAAAGTCAAAGGACCCATCGCCCCTTGAAACAAAATTTAATCATTCAAATGCCTCAGAAATCGATCAGATTATTCTTGTGAAGTAAGTCTCTTTGCCTTGCGAAACAGTTATCAAGATATCCAAGATTTGTACAATATATCTGAAAACCACCTTATAGAAAAGACATCTGTAAGACCCATGCATAACATATTTGCATCCATAATATACAAATCGCTGCCCCAAAATTACAAGGTTCTATCTGACCGCATCTGACAATTTTGACCGTTTTGAGTTACTAAGACCATGCATCCTGAAACCAAATGATCTATCTGCAATATCAAAACTGTAAGATTATTCAGAGATGTTATTAAGATATTTTTAAAAATTACATTCGAAAAAGCTTGACATGTTGTGAAACTCAAAATTTATGACGTCAGACTTCTCAAAACTAAGTTCTGAACAGATAGAATTTTGTAATTCTATGGTAGCAAAATATTGCGACCAGAGCTGATTGATATAAGAACCTTTTTGTTTTATTTCTCAATTTATTCATTGAGGATGTGCATTGTGGATAATTGACAACATACGGAAACAAGCTGTCTTGTGGAACTTCAAAAGATAACTTCAGTATTTAAAAAGATTTTCAGTTCTGTTTTCTTAATTAGAAACTTAAATGCTATAACAGGTATACTATGACATGTACAAATTATTAGTGTTTCTGTTTCTGATTTGTACTTCAAAATGGGCCGTAACATTGCTGTTGATCAAACAAAATTATTTGTCCGTTATGTCCTTATAGTATAGAGTAAAAGATCTTTTACAACAATCTTTGCTCATACGCTTTGCCCCAAAGATAGTTCACTACCTAACAATTGCATTAAATATACGGTAATAAAGACTATGATACAGGATGGTCGGGAGGCAAACTAATTGAAAAAAAAACCCCTCAAACATTGGCCCTGAACAGAAAAAGACCCTCCCCCCCCCCCCCAACCCCTCACACACATAAAAATGAGAGTGTGCTCTCCACTGCAAAAGGGGGTGGTGTCCTCTCAACCATCAGAGCCATGTTCAGTCTTACACTTGAACTTGTACCCCAGTAAACTAGCCAAAAATAAAATACATGTAATAATATATAAGAGTTGAAACTTTGGACATGGGAGCAGTTTCAATGCTTGCCAAGGGTGCCATTTTCCTCAGTAGATAAGACCTTGCAAGGATGGTTATTTCAGATTTTGCCTGGAAACCTCAATAGGGCCTACTGTTCTTCCTAATGAATATAAATGTGAGGCAAGTTGACAAAATGAGTTACTTCTCGCTATCCAAGAATGAATATATCGGCCAAAAATCGATACTGGGGTCAGATTAATAGATTTATTTCAATTGACGCCATTTTCTTCAAGTTTACTGTGCCTTTTACTTTTATTCCATACTTACAAACTGTACAAACTCCATCTATAAAGTTGGTGTTTCAATTTCCATTAGGCTGAAATCCGAGAAGTAACTCATTCTGTCAGAACACCTCACAAATACTTATAAGCTTATGTAGGTTGTCTCACATTTTGCCAATGTTCTAATTTTGGTATATAAAAAGGAATCAATTAAGAATTAAAATTTCTAAAAATAAATAAATAATTGGATTTGTCATCCTCTATCATTAAACCTAATTGGCAGAAAGCGTGAATTCCTATTAAATGCTCATAATCCGCCTGTAGGCCTATAACGGATCATGCTTCTAAAGTCAAAAGACACAACTTCTTATTCTTCAAAGCCTTTGTCTTTTGTCTGTGGTGGAGGCAGAAGAACTGGTCAGCAGAGACGCATGGGAGCTGGTCCGAGAATGTCCAGGGACAGACAACTCTAGTGTCTGCGGATTATGTGCATTGCCATTTTGATTGGTCCAAGCGTTCTGGTTCCCATTGGTCCTTGCAACTTTGTGAGCAAAGCTCCGGACAACTCTGGCACTTAGGTATGCCTGGGAAACAAATGGTTGAGACAGGCTTATTATAGTTAGTATCACCACATCTTTGTTATCAATTTTATTTTTTTAAAGTAAGACTTTTACGACACTTGCAACACAATAAGGTAATATAAGTGCCATCTGTTATCAATAAGCATCTTTTATTAGTAATGTATTTACTGTGATATAATTGGAGGTTGGAGCAGACACTCAAGACAGATTTATTGATATACATGTATTAGTACAATAATAGCCTATAATGGTATATAAGTATTGTATCTGTGGTATATAAGTATCATATCTGGGGTACATTGGCATTATACTTGATTGAATCATATCTGTGTAATATTAGAATGATTTTGGTATTATATCTGTGGTATTAGAAACATACAAATTGACTGAGGTATTTTAGTATTATATCTGTGGTACAATAGTATCATATGAGGCATACCAGTATTATATATTGTCTTGTGGTATATTGATATGGTATATTAGTATTATTACATCTGGTAGCAATTATATTACTAGGCTTATTTTATCTGTGGTACCTTATTATTAGTGTTATATCCATGGTATATTATTAGTATTATATCTGTGGTATTTTAGAATCATATCTGTGGTATTTTAGTATTATATCTGTGGTATATTGGTATAATATGAAACATGTCAGTATTATATTGTAGCCTGTATTGTATATTAAAGTATTATATCATGGTGTATTTTTAGAATAATGTGAGACATTTCAGCAGAGAGGATGAGGAGGGAAGGAGAAGAGAAGGAGGAGAAGAGAGGAGGAGGAGGAGAAGAGGAGAAGAGAGGAGGAGGAGGAGAAAAGTGTAGAGTACAAATGATGATGATGAGGATAGACACATGCACATTATGTGTCATGCCGGGGTAGACTCAGACGCTCGTCAATTTTTTTACATGTGGAGTGGAGTTATTGGTATAATTTTAAAGCTTGTTTATCTGTCTTGCTTTCGGTGAAAAGAATAGGCCTACTCATCTATCATAAATAGAAGCCAAGATATTTGCGGATGAAGGAGGTGGGGGTTTCCTGGTTTCAGAGGTAAAATTAGCGAGAAAACGGCCGCCAAAGTTTGGCGACTTCCAAAGCTTGAGAGTCCTTAGAAACTGCAAATTTACATTTTTGGGCTTCAAATCAACATTTTTTCAGTAAAATTCACACAGAAATGTGTTTTTAAATGGACCTTAAAGATGTTGAGTGAAAAAAAAAAAACATTCTATAAAAATTGCCAAACAGACCCAGAAAAATGCCAGTTTCTTCGATTTCCATTATTTTGACGAGTGCCTGATTTCACCACGATGCCTAACATATGAAAATTGACCTGTTTTCTTAGTTTAGCTCCATTCAATTTGTGTTTCTGGTGGTACAAGATGATGGAGTCGAGGTAGGCATAGGGTTGTCCCTCTAGATGGTACAGCTTGTTCACCTCAGCAATGCGGTAATGCCGAATGTAACTGTGCATCCTGGAGAAAAAAATGATTCACATGTCAGAGTGGGAAGGAAGGGGGGGGGGGT